CCGGACCCCGCATTCACTATATCCGCTCTCCCCGGACCCCGCATTCACTATATCCGCTCTCCCCGGACCCTCCATTCACTATATCCGCTGTCCCAGGACCCTGCATTCACTATATCCGGTCTCCCCGGACCCTGCATTCACTATATCTGGTCTCCCTGGACCCCGCATTCACTATATACCCCGCTCTCCCCGGACCCTGCATTCCCTATATCTGGTCTCCCCGGACCCTGCATTCACTATATCTGCTCTCCCCGGACCCTGCATTCACTATATCCGCTCTCCCCAGACCCTGCATTCACTATATCCGCTCTCCCCGGACCCTGCATTCACTATATCCGCTCTCCCCGGACCCTGCATTCACTATATCTGGTCTCCCCGGACCCTGCATTCACTATATCCGCTCTCCCCGGACGTGCATTCACTATATCTGGTCTCCCAGGACCCTGCATTCACTATATCCGCTCTCCCCGGACTCTGCATTCACTATATCTGGTCTCCCACAGTACACACAACATGGAAATGCAATTATTTTAGTAAATATAAACTGATAAATACCTTTTCTCATCCGTAGTATATAGCAGTCTTGTGACTTCTATCAGTGTCCAGCTGAGCACTGGTAATCTTGCAGGAGGTGTTTTCATTCTCCTCTGACTGTCCTATGAGGCTGCATGACCCCTGGCCCTCTGTCTGGACAATGCTGATTGGCCATGTGCCAATCAAATGCACTCTCCCAAAAAAAAAAAAAAAAAAAAAACTCAAGCAAACTGAGCATGTGCAGAGCACCTCCTTGGGCTCTGTGCTATCAACAGATGGATTGAGGACTGTGGAAGAAGGTGAGGATCAGAGCAGACAGGATCAAACAGCCTTTTTACACAATGCCGAGGATTAACCCCTTAGGTTCCCCAGTGAGTATAACAAGCATGCTTTACTGCATCTACAGACTGATTTTACTGCTGTGGGTTTAGTAACACTTTTTTTAAAGAAGTGTAAATCCAAAATTTCCTATTCTTGATCTGTGCCTGCTGGCCCATCTACTTCTATGAGAAAGTCCCCTTTGTTTTGCTTCCTTTGTGTGAAATCCCTGGTGATCCTGCCAGTTCCTCCACTTTCCTATGAAAAACTGACCACACTGGGCATGAGAGCACAGCGTGGTCAGTTCTCTAGCTGTGCTGGGAACTCAACCTGTTCTCTATCAATGCTTAGACTTGTCCTGTCACCTCCCTCCTATACTGCCATTCGCTGGGAAGACCAGTGTGTACAATCTTGGAGCAAATGAATTGTGTTCAATCTTTACATCTCAAGGTTTTTTTTTTCGTTTTGACTTTTACCTTGAGTGCCAGTCATGCCGGTGCGGTTTCAAGTGCCCTATCATTGGTGTCACTGGGATTAAAAAATGCATCTTTGGTATTAGGGGGAGGAATAGCACCCCATTTCTGGTGTCATTGGGAGAAGTGGTGCCCTATTGTTGGTGTCAGTGGGAGGAGGAATAGTGTCCCATCGTTGGTATCAGTGGGAGGAATAGTGCCCCATCATTGGTGTCAGTGGGAGGAATAGTGTCCCATCGTTGGTGTCAGTGGGGGGAATAGTGCCCCATCATTGGTGTCAGTGGGAGGAATAGTGTCCCATCGTTGGTGTCAGTGGGAGGAATGGTGTCCCATCGTTGGTGTCAGTGGGAGGAATAGTGCCCCATCATTGGTGTCAGTGGGAGGAATAGTGCCCCATCATTGGTATCAGTGGGAGGAATGGTGTCCCATCGTTGGGTGTCAGTGGGAGGAATGGTGTCCCATCGTTGTGTGTCAGTGGGAGGAATGGTGCCCCATTGTTGTTGGTGTCAGTGGGAGGAACAAGGGCGTATTTAAGGCAAACAAGGCACTTGACTAGGGATGCATTTTTCAGAGGGACAGTACCTCCCCCCAGAAGAAGGAATGAAAGAAGGGATACTCGTACCATGGGAATCAGGAGGGGTCCAAGAGAGGCTGCGGGCTGCTTGATGGTGTATGTACAGCCTGACTCTCGTTCCCGGGGATGTCCAGAGCTGTGAAGATGAGTGTCTTTCTTTCTGTCGCCGGGGGGTAGTGGAAGGCTCTCCCAGATGGGGGGCCAGAGGTGTTGTTGGTCAATGTCAGGCTCTCTCCGTGGGAGGGGGAAGGGGGGATGGTTGGTCGGTGTCCATGGTGGCAGAAGACTTTTGTGTTGCCTAGAGCAGCACAAAACCTACATACACCACTGGGGGAGGAATGGTGCCCCATTGTTGGTGTCGGTAGGGGGAATAGATTGGTTTTAGCAGGAGGAATAATGCTCCAATGCTGGTGTCAGTGGGAGGGAATGGTGCCCTATTGTTGGTGTCAATGGGAGGAATAGTGTCCCATTGTTGGTGTCAATGGGAGGAATGGTGCCCTATTATTGGTGTCAGTGGGAGGAATGGTGCCCTATTATTGGTGTCAGTGGGAAGAATGGTGCCCTATTGTTGGTGTCAATGGGAGGAATAGTGTTCCCATCGTTGGTGTCAGTGGGAGGTATGGTGCCCCATTGCTGGTGTCAGTAGGGGGAATAGTGCCTCATGGTTGGTTTTAGCAGGAGGAATAGTGCTCCATCGATGGTGTGTCCGTGGGAGGAATAGTGCCTTTTCTTGATGTCAGTAGTAGGAACTGTGCCCCATTGGTGTCTGTGGGCGTAAAAGTGCACCAAGGGCCAGATAAATGCAAGCAAAGGGCCACATCAGGCCCCCAGGGTGCAGTTTGAGACCCCTGGTGTAGATAATATACTAAAGTTTTGAGCAGATACACCGCATTCAATGTTTGCATCCCAAGGGCTTCTTTTTTCACTTTGGCTAAAGCATACCTTTTAATGATCTCCCTAAGACATCACCATGATGAGAAATCCAGGATCCTGTGTGCCAGCATCACCAACAGGCACTTTCCAGGATCACCACTCCGCTAGCAAAAAGAAGTCAAGTAAACTCATGAAGTACTACAACGTCTCCCTAGAGTGTGTTCAATGTTTGCATCTCAAGGCTTTCTTTCTTGTTTCATTTTGACAGAAGCGTACCTTTAACGATCTCCCTAATCACTTTTAGGCAAACTTTACAATAAGCATTGAAAACGCATTCAGCAAAATCCTCGATAGTTTTGTCTTTATCTCTGCAAAGTTGAACTTTCTTTTGAAAACAAAAAGAGAAAAAAAAGAACAATAAACTCTTGTCTTGTAAAGAGCTCGGTTCCATTATTAACCCCTTGACTCCGACATCACACAAATATGCGGCCTCACAGAACTGGGCTTTTTTCCGTGGGGCCGCATATTTGCGTACCTGGCTTTGTGCTGGGAGCGCGCCGCACTGCGCACTCCCAGCACAAATACCGGGGTGTCACTGAGAGCCCCGAGTCCCGCTCTAACGATCGGGACTCCCGATTCCGGGTCACATGATCGCTCTGATAGCCTCCGATTAGCTATCACAGTGATAAGTCACTGTACAGCCCGGCCCCCTTTTTTTTTTTTTTCTCTCTATGAATGGAGGAGAGATACATTGTATCTCTATAATTCCTGGCATAGAGGGGAAAAAAAAATGTTTGTTAAAAAAAAAAAAAAAAAAAAAAAAAAGAATAAATAAATAAACATTAAAAAAGAAAAGAAAAAAAATAAAGAAAAAATACCTAGATCAAGGTTTGATCTAGTTCAGTGCCAGGGTAGGTGTTTGGGTCAAGGCCAGGGTCAAAGGCCAAGGTCTAAAGGTCAGGGTCAAAGGTCAGTTTTTTTTTTTTTTTTTAATTGGTATCAGTGTCAGTGTGTTTTAGGTAAAGTTGATCCAGAGAATATCCGATTGCCTCTCGGGGGATCAGGAAGGAATTTTTTTCCCAGCAGGAGCAAAGTGGATCGCGCTTTGCTGGGTTTTTTTGCCTTCCTCTGGATCAACTGTGGGTGTAGGATTATAACTTTTTTTTTTTCTATGGTTGAAACATAGTAGCAGAAACAATAGTGCGCATTTTGTTTTTTTTTTTTTACATAGTTACATAGTTAATCTGGCTGAAAAAAGAGCTGGAGAATGTATTTTGTCTTTTTTTCAGCCAGACTAACTATGTAACTATGTAAACCAAAAAACAAAATGCGCACTATTGTTTCGGGGCTGTACTACGGGTACAAACAACAAATAACATCCACATATATGGTATCGCTGCGATCGTCAAGAGCTGGAGAATGTATTTTGAGTTGTTCTTTGGTGGTAGGTTATGGTAGTAACAAGAAACACACAGCTAAATTTAAAAAAAAAAAAAGTTTTTTTTTTTTTACTATTTTGGGCCAGTTTTCCTTTGATAATAAAAAAAATCAGGAGATATCCATTATCATTTACCACCAAATGAAAGCCCAATTTGTCCTGAAAAAAAAAACACGGTATAATCCACCCGGATGTACGAAGTAGTTGTGATGATACGGACGGTTTTACTAACACAGGTCAACGTTGCAAAATTGTGCTTAGGCGTTAAGATCTAGCGTGAAGGTGAGAAGACTTAGGCGTGAAGGGTTAATGGAGGAGAGACATACATTGTATCTCTCTAAATTCTGGCATAGAGGGAAAAAAATGTTTGTTAAAAAAAAAAAGATAAATAAATAAATATTAAAAAAAAATAAAAGAAAAAAATAAAGAAAAAATACCTAGATTAAGGTTTGATCTAGTTCAGTGCCAGGGTAGGTGTTTGGGTCAAGGCCAGGGTCAAAGGTTAAGGTCAAAAGGTCAGGTTTTTTTTTTTTTTTTTTAATTGGTATTATTGTCAGTGTGTTTTAGGTAAAGTTGATCCAGGGAATATCCGATTGCCTCTCGGGGGTTCAGGAAGGAATATTTCCACTGCAGGAGCAAATTGGATCGTGCTTTGCTGGGTTTTTTTTGCCTTCCTCTGGATCAACTGTGGGTGTAGGATTATAAACTCTTTTTTTTTTTTTTTTCTATGGTTGAACTGGATGGACTTTTGTTTTTTTTTCAGCCAGATTAACTATGTAAACAAAAAAACAAAATGCGCACTATTGTTTCTGGGCTGTACTATGGCTACAAACAACAAATAACAAACACATAGATGGTATCGCTGCGATCATCAAGAGCTGGAGAATTTATTTTGAGTTGTTCTTTGGTGGTAGTAGGTTATGGTAGTAAGTAACAAGAAACCCACAGCTAAATTTAAAAAAAAAAGATTTTTTTTTTTACTATTTTGGGCCAGTTTTCCTTTGATAATAAAAATCAAAATCAGGAGATATTCATTATCATTTACCACCAAATGAAAGCCCAATTTGTCCTGAAAAAAAAAAAAATTCACCCGGATGTACAAAGTAGTTGTGATGATACGGACGGTTCTTCTAACACAGGTCAACGCTGCAAAATTGTGCTTAGGCATTAAGATCTAGCGTGAAGGTGAGAAGACTTAGGCGTGAAGGGTTATG